AGAAATAGAGCAGGTACGGCATTTTCTTGACCAAGATTAATAGCCATAGGTTGAACACGATCTGGAGTAACACCATCATTGTAAATTAAAATAGCTGCTGCATTATTTTGAGCAGCAAGAACACCTTTATCTGAGAATGCACAAACACCTCTTTTCACTAAAGCTACTCTTCCAGCTACTGGTGGATTAGCATTTTTCCAGTCAGCATCGGAACATCCAACGTTTGGAATAACAGAAATTCCAACAAAAGCCATAAAATTTGCTCGCGTAGAAAGTTCAATATAGGTGAAATCGGCAACAGAAAGATCCTTTGAAAATGTATAGGTTTTAGTAACACCATTAATCGATGATATTAAGATGGGATCACTAGCCATAGCAAACTGTCGTACAGGAAAGAAGGCTTTTGATACATGAAAATTAGTATTAGCTGCTAAAGTATCAGTAATATAATTAAGTGTATGATTGTAGCCAATTGTAGTAACAGCTCGATTTCCATTGCTTGATGTTGCAATACGTTGAAACGCATTAAGATGGTCCATCACATCATCAATACGAATCGATTCAGCTAGAATAGAATCAAGTGGTTTAGGTGTCGTGGTTATTGTTGATGATTTGTTTGTATTCACTTTCACCAAGATAGCTATAGCTAAGCCAAGAATACTAATCGTAAGTAATATTCCAACTCCAAGAGTAACGAGGATTAATTTCATACTTCTATCCGTTTTTAATTCGTTACTAGTACCATCAGGATGGATTTTGCCATGAGATGTCATAATCCTTTTTTTTAGCTGATACTGATAACAATAAAAAGAAAGTGCAAGCAGATAGTGCAATAAATTTCAGTATTTAAAGATGAAAACTAAACCACTTGTTGAAAATAACAATCTAAATATCTTTTTGCTTCGTCAATTGCAGGTATATAATATCAATTACAATGATGACAATAAAAAATACATATTTGAAAACATCACATTTACTGCTACCGGTAGAATTCGTGTCATAAAAGACATATAATCTTTGAGAGGACGTGAATAATAAAACGTTTCAGTTTTTATTATCTAGTTAATTATTCAACATTTCAGTACGTTTCATATGTAGATAAAAATATGAATACATATTATATATCACTGTAAAAGCTCTAGTTTAGTTTCCTATGATAAAAAATCACATTTTTAAATATGATAAATAGGAATTTTTTTGAAATATAATAAATTGTTATATACCGGGCAGTTTAAAGATCTTACTTAATAGAGAGAATAAATTTATTATTTGAAAATGTTTTTTATGAATGTAATACATAGAAAATACAAATGAAATTTATGTTGCTGTTTTTCAATAGTATTCAGCAGTTACATATTAAAATAAAAGGTTAAATTTTATAGAAGTAAAATCTTGGAATTGATAACTAGAATATCGCTCAGCGCTATATAAACGTATTACTATAGTTGAAAAAACATGGCATAATTTCTTAGTATATATGATCGACCTTGAGGTCAATTCATAATATAAATAGATTTATTTGTGCACATCATAATCACATTAAAGGTTAAAAGGCAATCAGATTTTGCCATTCGTTGTTATCGCAGTACGAACATAGATTTATTTTACATTTTTTTTCTCTTTCGTTGTATATATTTGCTAATGTTTTATGATTACAAGATTTTTTTTATTAAATATAATTTAGGAATTTGTAAATTGAAAATTTTATTACAATTGATTTATGACATTTTGTCGTAGTACATGTAACAGAAGATAAAAACGAACGTTAATAATGCAATAAGTGAAAGTGTTCATTTATCAAACTAATTTTCATCATTTTTCTTGAGCATTTAAATGAGCCACTGTTTCATACGGATAAAATTATTCTTTTAGATTATCTTATCGAGCTGAATTCTCTAGAACATAAGTAACCATTTACACCATTTTTTCATATGCAAATACGTTTTTATTCTGAATTGGATTACAAACTTTATGATAACATAGATCATAGGTAATACCTGAAATCCCACTTAATCCTTGATAAAATAATCGATCATACTCTTCTATTGAATCGAAGCTGCTACTAATTCAAGCAGGTAAAGCATTATCCTGACTAAAACTAACTTCCATGGATGAAAGATTATTAGAAGATTCACCATCATCATAGGAAAGAATACCAGATGTATCGAATTGAGCTGTATACTCATAAAATACACAATTACCGCCTATTTTTATAAGCACCACTTGCTTTTACATAGGTGTAGAAATATGCCATCAATCAGCTGTTTTACAATCACCATTTGGAAGAATAGTAAACTGAAAAATGCACGGCTGAAATACCACTGAGCAACATCAGGAGAAAAGGATTATTGTGAACAACAAAATCTCGAACAAAGAAAGAGGTCTTAGTTATATTAAAACTGATTTTATTGCGTAGTGTATTCATGATACAGTTAAGTGTTTAATCAAAGTCAACAGTGCTTATAATTTGAGTACCATTCGATATGTTAGTGATACTCTACAGTTCTTTAAGATGTTTTAAAACTTCGTCAATATTGATTGACATATGAAGGATTCCATTTTATGATAGTAGAGTTATTGCTATTGTTGATAATCTAATCGTTTATTGAGTGTCAAAAGTAGCAGCAGCAAGAGCAAACATGATTATTTCGAACAAACTAATGACTTCTAATATAATGAACAGACGTGCGTTTACTACATTTTCGTTATTCATCAATACTTGTGTTAATTTTAGAAATAAATTAACAATTACGTGAAGAGAAACTTTATTATTCTAACTTGTATATTATAAATTACAAATCAGCAAATATACATTGATTTCTGTAACAAAAAATTATTAATTTAGTTTTATAATATCGGACGATAATTTTATTGCTTTTCAATTCTCTTTCTCATAGCAGTAAATATTGTCACAATGATAAGAATCATTGTTAATCTATAACTTTAAGATTTACTATTTTACGATTGTAATTGTACGATGCAAAGAAAATGACTAATAGATAATATATATTATTTATGTGACATATATATAATTCATTGATACATAACAACAATGATTAATATTGACGTCCTTCTTAGATTATAAAATACAAGTTTCTCGTTTTATCTAGAATTTGTCTTATAAAACTGAATCATTTCGATTTAAACATTTTTTTCTATTTTAAAAATATTTCATTATCGATTGTTATTTCTTGATCAACAAATGATGATGATAGCCCATATAATTTGATATCTCTTCGGAAAAAAAAGAATGTATTATAAACGATAATTTTCTTCTATAAATATTTTATTTTTAAATGATGTTCAAATAAATTAAATATAAAGCAAATGAGTAAACATATTTGTCGATAACGAATAAAAAAGAAATACATACATATATATACTATTACCTAGAGAAATTGACTTCTTTTATTTCATTTACTATTAACGATTCATTGACGAAAAACTTACTGCTATTTTAATTTCAATAAAACGAGATCATAGAATTAGATTAGTAATTCAAAAGTGTATACTTCTTTTCCAAGGATATTTGATTCAATTTAAAAAAAGTTTTGATACATGCTTAGCTAGTTAGTTTTTATATTATCAAGAATTAAACGATACAAAACATTTCTACTTTTTAAAAGCTTCTAAAAGAATAATAGGCTATTATTTTAAATAGAGACAAAAGAAAGATAAGTGACTGATAGTAATATTAGCACTGAGACTATCTGGCGAAAGCATTCTTTAGAATTAATTATTCGTTTGGATATTATATTTGTGAGTGATGAATGCTTTTAGATTTGTAGCTTTCGATTTCAATGTTAATCAATTTGTTTATTTCTTATTTCAACTAATATAGATGATCAAGATTATAAATGACCAAAATAATTGAAAAAATATACTATGCTAACGACTTTCTACAAAAAAATATGCTTTTTTTCAAAACATCTTATTATTATAATATCATTAGACAAGGAAAGAGAAAATTCAAAAAGAATATTTGACTATTCCACGTCAAATGTACTGCTTGAATGTGCAACAGTTTATAATAAAATACACGAATAATGTTAACATACATGTAAAAAAATGACATATAAAGAACATTATATTTATTCTTGATTTTTGATCTATCAACGCATATTGTATTATAAGTCAAATTATTCGTTCTAATGATTAAGTGTGAAGATGAGTTTCATTAAATTATACGACAATATTAATTTTTTCTTCATAAATTAATAATAATATTAAATGACACAAAAGCAGTGAATGTGATATTATCACTTATAATTTTCAACTTCTTTTATACAACAGACAAGAGAAAAATAAAATGATAAATGTTGAAAATCAATCCGCTTTATCAATACAATATCCACTACTTATCACTGATTTACACTCGCACTCTTCAATTCCGCTATCTTTTTATGATTAATCAGCTTCATACACCTACTTAAACTACTATTTATACATCACATCAATCTTAACAACCATCAACAAATTCTCAACCAAACAAAGCAACACTACCTTTTTCTTAAATAAATATCTATAAAAATATACTTACAATAGTAAAACAATTCTTTATTTCATTCATTCCTCTCGATAAATTAGTCATTCTATTATCAATCAGAGACACACTTCTTCTCATACGAATAAACTTTCTGATAAAATCGTCTTTCAAAACAAAGTTCAAAGCTTCTGATAAACTTAAGAATATTCGAGACTATCAAATCTCAATGAAACAAATCTGGTAAATAAATGCCTTTTTCAACTAGAAGATGTATTTATAAACATGTTAACTAATGGTGAGAAGAATAAGATATGATGATATATAAATATAAATAAAATGAATATGTATAGTTTTATTTATAAAATGAACAGAAAACAAAAACAAAAAAAATAAGAAGTAGGAAGTGAACAGAAATTATAAAATAAATATAATCTGTAAGTGTGATAGTTGATTCATCAATACGAAAAGTTTGTATCGATTCATTTGATCATATTATTCATCATACTTGTCGAAATTATCCAGAGGTGGTCGGGTTCATAGTAGAAGTTGGAGCACTATTTTGACTTGTGTCCGGATGCGTACTAGCATCAGTATGAGTCGACCCAGTACTTACACTTGTAAGTATAGTAGAAGATGTATGTTCAGTTGGAGGTACGGATGTTGTTGTGCTAGTTAACGTGTGTGTAGTTGTTGTTGATGAGTCGTCACCGAGGGCCGATATTTGGTTTTGCATAGCTTTTATTTGACTATCAAGATTATCATATCGTTTGTTGAGAGTTCCAAGAGTAGCAGCAGCTA